TTCCACTGTGGATTCAGTGTCTTCTCGATTGTTTTACTGGTCATTTTTGTTGCCTAAATTCAAAAAAGTAGCTGGATTAAGGGGTTTTGTATGTAGAAGTAATCTATATTACGAATTCTCGATGAACTTCCGAGTTAATGCTCAGAAATGTTTTCTTCCTTTTTGCATCGCCCCTCTTTTTTCCAGTAACATATGCATTCATTTTTATGTCGCTGTATTTCATCCTTCTATGCCACACTTGAATCTGTCCGAAATGTCCATTCATTCCTCTGGAAGGCCTACATTTCAGTCGTATCCGTCCGGATCGCTTATCTTATGTTCATAACCAGCCGAATTCCTGTATTCCATTTTTATCCGTCTGGGATACCTGCCCTTCATTTCTATCATCCGTCCGGACCGACTGTTTTTGACTTATATCTATTCGCAACATCGGCTTTTATCAAGATATGGTTGAACCGCCTGTTTTTCTTTCAATTTCCATTTCTCATCAATCGAATCTCTATTGCCATAATGGTTAAGCTTAGGCAGAAAATGTGGCATAGCTCCTCATAAACCTCAATAGAAAAAATGTAACTTTCCACTTTTGGCAACATTCAGGTCTCCGCCGTTGTTATCCTCGGATAGAATTTTAGTTAAAACGTATTTTAAAATACATTTTTTTTTCAAATTCAAGCTACACACAAACAGAATGGAACTTTTTAAGATAGCTGCAAAAAATAGTACCTTGGAAGCACCAGGTATCAAGTACAGCTTAACATATGGATCAGAAAAACCATTTTTGTCCATAGCACGTAAATTCTGCAAATTTCATCATGAATTTAATTACATTATTTACAGAAAGTAACAAGTGAATGAAAGGCTACTAGAATAACAAAACAATCGGTGTGAGTATTCCATGTTACTGACTTAATCCACATGTTGGACATAGCGGCGCCAGGCCATTCGATCCTGGACTGCATATCATCTCCTCTTCGATGACATACACCACCTCTCCGGAGGCTATCCAGGTGACCACCAGCAAGAGATGAAGCTGTGGTCAATATAGCAAGAGAGAATCAGCTGATGGCGTCAAGGCGCGGAACGACAAAACAGTGGCTGAACTAAGTACCAAAGTATAAGTATGCGGTTGCCAAGAATCCAGTACTCTCTCTCCTCCTATTAAAACATAGCATAAGTAAATTCCAAGCAGTGTTTGACTAATTTGATCAAAAAATTTATGAGCTGTTAAAAAATAGTGTTTGGGGGGCACCTGCACTAAGGATAAATGCGCTCAAATTTATTCCCTTAAAGTTGTCCTTTTGTCCAGAAGTCCCCAGATTCGGTTGAAGATTCAAGCTTGCTTACAAACTGATAAAAAATTGATAGCTGATAAAACACCCGCTGATGAAAAGCGAATAACAAAACACGATGTCTGGTGTAAAAAAAGAATACCCTAGCGCCTATAAGTTGAACATGCAATTCCATATCTTGGGCTGAATAGAGAAGAGAGAATTGAACTGTTCCACGCATATCTAAAAATAATACAAATTTTAATAAATGCAAGATTATCACTGTAACAAAAAATAAATGTCTTTAATACATCTGATAACAATAATTACACGTTGGAAAAATTATGTTTTGTGACTCTTATTCTATACCTCATTTTACGGATTTTCCGCAACAGTCACTGAGATTTCGCGTCCTGAAAACTTGCGAAGGATTCTCCCAAGAATATCGCTTGCCAGCTTCCTTTAGCCATTCTCTTTGCCCTTACTACTTCTCATAAAATTCCAACTCGGACAGTTCATCGCACTGAGGTATGCGATTGGCGACGGATTAGTCAGCGTCGAGACACGGCAAGACATAAATTCTTGCAGCTCCAAGCAGGTTAGATTATTAGACTAAATACTATAAACGTTGGTCATTCTGTGTCTCAGACTACTGCGTAGCTGTCAGCCGTGATACTAGTATTTTTTCCACTAAACTGTAAAAATTTCATTGCCCTAGGAGTAAGTATAAATTGAGTTACCTTGATCTGATCTGTATTACTGGCATGCTCATCAAATTTCCCTTCCTTTTCCAGTTCTTTCAAATTCAGTTCTTTTTATTTTTATTTCATTTTACGATGCACAAAGCAACTACTTCTGTCAAGAGAACCGTTAAGCTGATAATCCTGTCAGGAGATGAAACAAATGTTAGGATCGCCAGCAGTAGGCTGATCAATAGGAGATGCAGCACTGGTCAAAGCAACTGGAAAAGTTATCAGCTGCATAGGCAATGAACTGCGGTTGATCAAAGCATCGAAACAAAAAACAATTGCCTTTTACCAGATGGCCATGCTTTACCTGTTTTGACACTTCTTAAGCTGTGTATGCAAAATTTCCACAAAACATGGATTTCACGATGATTATCGTAAAAGCCGATCAAGTTGCATTCATACGTGTTGTGTAGCAAACAAAACAGCATGAACCACATTTTCGCGCACTGCACTCCAAACTCTCTCACTTCTACAGCAAGCGAATCCAGAACGTAGGTTAGTAAAACTACAGTTGCACGATAACGGGCAGGATGAACAAAAAGCACCAGAATCGGTGTCATCCTGAGCCAGAATATCGTTGCCGGACAACACTCGTCGTATAGCCTGATCCGAAAGAGGCCGTTCCTTGACCGATGTTGAGCGTAGCGACATGCTCGACTGAGCCGTCGAGATCACTCGTTCACCCACAGCCCGTGGTACCGAACCTTTCGATTTCTGACGCCAGTTGAACGCCGAGCGGAATCGTTTCGGCAGCGAGCGCTCTTAAGTGAATATTCAGAAAACAGCTAAATGAGGAATGGAAAAGCTACTACAACATGCGACGTTGAGATGGGAAGAAAACCTCACACTATCCGCGGTCTGAGCACAAAGTGCCAGAAAATTTACCTATTTCGTTAACCCCTCGCTTTACTTACAAAATTCTTATTATGCAAAATCCAAAGTGCAGAATCCTATAGGGGACTGATTTTTACGAAGTTCTAGTTGCTCAGTGGCATCCCTCAACTTGTACTTTATCTTTTCAACTAAACTTGGAATCCTTTCTCCCCTGTCCACCATTCTCCTCTTCAGTTTAAAAACAGCATCCAGAATTAAAGAATGAGGCAAGCACTCCTCATATTCGCTCGCCACTCATTCGAAGCATTCTTCCTTCTCGCTTTTAAGTTATCCTCAATTCCCCTCCATCGCCATCAACTTCTTGGTAAATCAGATTCATGTATTATAGACAAATGGCATAGCTTCGTTCGGCGTGTAGGAACATCCCACTAGCATCACTAACATCGAATACCAACAGCGATTATCCAGACGTATGCGGTGCAAAATGGTATTACAAATAAGGTCACAATAAAAAATCTATGGTCTAAAGATTTCTACAATTCTATCCAAAACGACAAAAAGTTCATGCAGCAAAAATAACGAATTCTAATTAATACTAGACTGGCTAATAATGCTCTAATTCGAAGCAGCATGCATGCATAATTGAGAGACAAGGCATCATCCGAAAACAAACTTACTTTCACGATCTTCAGAAGCACTTATATAGGACGATGATGTTGCGGCCTCCTCCTGAACAACAGTGAATATTTAGAAAATGCATTTGTAACATAGTTGTGCAGCTGTTTGACCTCTACTGCATTACCAGCTGCTGGTCAGACAAATATCGGTTCGTACCACCCAAACTTAGTCGAACAAAATGCGGGACAGTGCCTTCTCAATATATTTGGAGCTGGCAGAGTTTGTATTCTGCGGTGTTGTGGCGTTATGGCAAACCTAGCCTGTTACTATCACGATTACATGCGCGGGCCGGGATTTCCTGGAAGTAGGAAATTCATTTATTCTGTAAGATAAACACAAAATACGAAAAGCTGCTAACTTAGAACCAAAAGAAAAGAAAAACCTCCTACAGATTTTCTATTTTTAGCCCCCAGAAATGAGAGGGGGAGAAATCCGATCCCATGAAACTTTTATTTATTAAAAGGTTCACGAACCATTTTCAGCTGTTCTAGATTGATTGGGAGACTGGCGACGGACTGAGCAGATTTTCGAACTGATGAAGAACTGGACGATGCTGGGCTAAGAGAACGTTCTTGATTCGCAGCTTGTTGTTTCGAGAGAACCGGTGTCACGGCTTGTCCAGAAGGCGAAGCACTGGAGTCGCGACTCGGTAGTCGGGTCGGGAGTGGGGTTTGCTGTGGACTTCGTGGGGGTATCGGTGGTGGCTCACTGGTGCTCGGTTCCACGACAAGAGCCAGTTTTTCAGTCGGTGGACTTGTTTCTGCCGGGAAAATCAGCTTTGATTGCATGCTTTTTTCAGGGAATCCGCCATGCTGCTCCAGTAGTAGGCCTTTTTCATAATCTGGTGTTGGACGTATCTCATAAATTGATCCGGCGCGAAGCGGCTCCAGAAAAGCACGATTTTCCGGAGATTTCAGGATTCCAGATGATGATGTTGTTGAGGGAGTCCGAGAAAACCCGGAACGTGTTGCAATTGATTCTTTCGCTGCGGGGGGATAGCATTCCTCAATAAGACCAGCTGCAGCTGCACTGATGGCACCGGGAACCATCGTGTTCGGATTCTGGACATCAGCTGAAGCGTGGAATTTTGATATTCGCGCGTTTGTATGAGCTGAGTAATCACTTGGTACCACTGAAAAGAAAGGCTAATTTTTTGGCAAATGTGCTGGAGCTAGCAACTACTTCTCACCACCTAGCGCTTCCCCGCCACTTCTTCCCTGTCGAATTTACCCTTGTAAAACTGCAATCAGAAGATTGCCAGAATTCAGAACTCAGCCTGAAACAATCTACTTTTTTTCCCCAAAATTCAGAATGAATTGTAGAGGGACAACCAAATTCGACTACGACTCGATCACTGATTTCGATGGTAAATTGGTGTTCAAGTATGGCAGGAAAGAATTCAACCCACAATCAGCTTGTTTCCTTCCTGCCGTACGTGAACACCAAGCAATCCAAGAAAAAGAGCGAGATCGACGCCCTTGATAACGAATAGTGCTGTTGATAAGTGCTACCACTCGGGATACTTCCAATTGCTTCTACATCTCATGCGGAACTAATACAGGCCGGATTTTGACTTTTGACTTGACAGTGTTGTGGATTTTTCTCGGAGAGCGTTCCAAATGCGAATCACTGGTAGCCATTTCAAGAGTCAAGCATTAAATAGGTTTTATGTTCTGCTAATCACCAGCTTCTGATAGTAATACGTGCTATATTAGCTAAAGACTGAATTTCTCCTACCGTAGTTTAAAATTTCACCTCCCGAATCGATGGATTTCGCATCGGACGCAAGAATGGATGACTGATTTTGCGACAGATCGTCACCGTATGAGGAATGCGAATGACGCGGCGATGTGGATGGTGTAGTGCGCCGTGACTCGCCACTATCTTCTGCAAGTCACAAACAATTAAATCTTTTTAAGACATGTCTGATACAGCTAATACCGTAACCCTGTTTATCTTCAAAAAAAAAATTGTAAGAAGTACTTATTAGCAAAAATTCAACGTTTTCACTCATTTACAACAAGTTTGATAAAAAAAATCAAAAAACCGATTGCTTTTCCAGAAAAAAGTAAGGAACTACTTACGTGATTCTACCAACAAAATTTTGAAAGGCACTTTAAAAAAATCAAGAATCTTTAAAAAATCGAAAGAAATTACAAAAAAAGCGAAATTTCGGAAAATAAAATGAAAAATATTGAAAAACTTTAAAAAAAGGCTCCAAATTTGCATGTTAACAACATCTAGCAGGTTAATTTTTTCGAAATTCATTATCGGTAAAAGCGCTTCAAAATTTCACAGAGAAATATATTGGACTCCGGAAAAAGATTTTAAAACTTTACAAAAACTTTTTAATCCCTGATTATGCAACTGAATAGGGCTAAACAAAACCTACATACATATTTTTGCTTAATTTGAGAAATATAAAACATAAATGGAGGTGCGCAACTTATGGGAATAGTTAGCTCAGAACTAAGGAGTCTCGCATGCGCCACACGTGAGAACGCACGCATATTAGTGCATTGTACGGTTATTCCTCTAACATGGAATGCCCACACTGATTGTCTGGACCATCTCGGTCTTGGTTTATACAATTAAGCTTTTTATCAGGTTGATCTCTGTCTTTAAATGTGATCAGCAAATCCTGGTTCTGTTGTTATATTTTGGCAATACAATACCAGTATCAGTAATTCGGCTTTGAGCTCCAACTGTGAACCTATGGATCGTGGGCGGCATGCCGTGTACTGCTCGCTTCTGCATCCGGATACGGCGGTTTTGCACTGGCAGCATCTGATGGAAATCCTCCTTGGATGAGTGCTCTTCGTCTTCTTCCGAACTGGAAGCATTCACCTCCTCCTCCTCCTCAGATCCTGAACCAACCGATGACTGCACCTTCTCGCGAACCCATGATGGCGTAATTCGAGCGCGTGGAGGTTTTGGTATACTGAAAACAAAATAATTTTTAGGTTAGCAAAAAGAAATTATAATGGTCGTTTACTTTCCACTGCTGTCGAGAAGTATGACCAGTAGAGTTTAGCTCGAATTCAAAAAAAAAAAAATGAATGTTTATGTGTATGTAAAGTGCAAGTGTATGTGCATTTTCATCTTTGTATTCATATGGCGTCAAGAACATAAGTCAGCTGGGAGTTGCTGCTTACATTCCTCGGCGGTCCTAGGACTTTCGCCATAATACCCATGCGCGGTGGGGGTAGCACTTCCGGGTAGCACGGATATGCTGGCGAACGTCCGAAGTCCTTCGGCCGGTCTTATTCTGCGCGGAGCAACGACGACGGGCGGTGGCAAGCAGCATCAACGACGATCGACTGCAGCAGGATCAAGAGCAGCTGGTAACGACACAGGGTGTCGACAACAATCAATGTGCTCCCCAACCCAGTTCGTATTTTTATATTTTGATGTTGTATACTGTATACCATTTTGCAATTTTTTTGCGCTTAATTCTCGCGTTACGTTCGTTCTTATTTTATTATTTGTTGATAAAGATTATATTACCCAAGATTGAGGGTATAAAAACGATTCGAGCCGACGAACCGAGCTCAAACAATCGAAAGAGTCGACGTACTGTGCTCCTCGAAACGATGTGAATAAGGAGCCCACGAGCTACATTCGCCAAACAATCAAAGAGGGCAGACGTATTGCGCCCAGTTGAGGAACTTGGTCTACTGCTACTACAGGCCACTGTGCTGGCCTAGAACCGTATTCCTTTAGTATAAATTCTTTGGAGCGAACAACCAGAAGAGCTATCGTGGTAAGAACTTATCATCGTTCATGACAACTACTGGGCTGATAATTCTTCCCTCACTCTACCTCAATTTACTCTCTTTGCATAAAACACATTAACATCATCCAGAAGCATGAGAATGTTCGTTTCGTTTTTTAGCCAAAAATTTTGCCTAGGAACATTTTTCATGCTTTTCATTTCTCTCTGTCCTCTTCCTTCTGACAAAAAAAAGGCAAACTCACCCCGTTTGCTCGCTCTGTGAAGGTCGATGCCTGTTGAAAGGATATGTCGAATTCGATGATGTCTGTGGCTTTTCACTGAGTTGCCACGGGCTTTTCGTGTAAAATGCTGGTGGCGATCGCATTTCCTGAGCATCTTCCATAGGCTTCACAAACTCCGGGATTTCTTTGTAAAACCAAGCACCCGATTTCTTCCACATCTTAAATAGTTCGATGCAACCAGTCTTCCCTTCTCTCAAAGCGCGATTACGATAGTTTTCACCACAAAGACTTTTTTCAGAATTTTTCTAGAGTTTTCGACTCCAGTACCAATTTCGTGACAATTTTTGTAGTGGCGCTAGCCACCGATTTCTTTGTGATTTGCAACCGTAAGAAATTCCCATGTCTTTAAAAATCGCTCTTTCAATTGGACAGGAAATCGATACCACTATATCTGGCAAGTTATGAAAAGAATGCATTTGCGGAAAATTTCTGTAGCTTAAAATTTTAGGAAATTTCTATTTCATTACAGTTGACATTTTGTGCCCATGAAAAATTGTTATCGGAAACACCTAATTTTTAACAATCCTCCGAAAGCGCACTTCAGAAACTTTCCCTGCATACGGTTTGCAATGTTAAGTACCAAAGTTTGCGCAACGGAAGAGTGACTTCTGTTTTTGTTACCGCAAGAGCATTGCTTTTTCTTGGAAATTGATTTTGAAAATTTTGTAGTATTTAAAGTAATTCATTTATCCTGCATGCTCCAGAAAAAGTTCATGCGTCTAACTGAACTAAAGTAAAGATGGGGTCTTTTTCGAAAGTTCAGAAAAAATACTTTAGATGGCAGCGAAATTCTTGCTGCCCAAGACTTTTGAACACCGTGAATTAGCAAGAAATTCAATTTTTTTGAACCTCAAAAATTTTGAAAAAAAATCACCAGGATGTTTCTATGACAAATATAATTGCATCTACTTGATGCGCTGTGACCTAGTTTTAAGGACAGTTCAAAAACAGCAAACGAAGCATAAACCGAAATAAAGTACCAATAGGCATGGACAGCTGCAGAGAGGTAAACAGTACGGACAGCTACAAAGTTGCCAAAAGAGACAGAGCGCGTAAATTGAACGAAAGCTGGAAATATGAAAAATTCGGAAGAATGAAGCAAAAAGGGGATTACCGAAGCATAGAACCAAATTACTTACTACCTCGCGGTATTCGCTGCAGATTTTGCACAAGAAGACATTCTCACGTCGTACGCAATCATACGTCTCGAGACCGCAGTTCTTTTGGCACACGTACTGCAATAAAAAAAATTCAAAGACCTTTCCGAATTACTTTTTTACGAGAGACAAGAGCATTCGGTAATTTGTACTTATGGTAATAAGTGCCAACAATGGCGGTCTATTGATAAGCTGTCGATGGTTCCTCTTTCGAAAATTGCTCAGAAACAAGCTGATGGCGAGTTTGACTTCCTGACACATGCCATTATCAATTTACCAACGAAACGAATGAGCGAATCGTAGAAAGACTGCCTGTCTTACCGGTGGACTTGAACCCTCAATCTACTGTACGACAGTAGTGCCACTTTCCATTGCTCGACGCTTGCTGGCAATAAAAAAAGCTGTGCTTAAAAAAAAGTAATTGAATTCTCATACAGTTTTGTAGGCCATCTTATCTCTGACTGTAATTTTAACTAGAATTTGGATAATAAAACGTTTCTTCATTGATAATTTTATAATCTCTCAGAGATTCCGATCTGGGCACTTCATTTTAGAATACATTTCATGGGGTAGAGTGCACACACTGGAGAAGAGTGGGGGTGAGGGGGGGGGGGGCACTGGCTACTTACCATTCAGGGCCGAAATGCATGGCTTAAGCATATGTGGGATCGCCCTAGTAACATCACTAGCACGTGACACTTACACTAATAGCTCGGGCAATTTTAGTATTTTTGGTAGTATGCAAAAAGTTTTATGTTTCAATGCCCTGGCTATGCTACAGAAAGAAATAATAACAAATTTAGGGCAAAGTCATGCTTGCTTAGATTCGAATAAAATATTTGTAGCCGAAATTGGTTTTCCTCCAAAAACTCAAAATGATAGGTTGAATTTAATTCTCTTTCAGCCTCTGTAATTAATTTAGCTAGAAATGTGCTTAACATTTCCACTAAACTGGAAACATTCCGGACAATCTTTTGAAAACTGGCTTCATTTAAAAACCTACTTTTCGACACTGTGAACACATGGCAGCATAACTTTTCGGCGCAAGAAGACCAAAATCGGTTGAGCACAGGTAACACTGTGTGACGCCATTACCCGTTGCCAGAGCTTTCATCTTTTCCAGCCTATCGATCATTTTGCTGCAACGAAATGCATAACTTAAACTTATCATAATGGTCACCATTTTTGTAAAAAAAATTCGAAAATATTAACAACGAGTGTTTTGTCGAAAAAAAAATGTTCATTTCCATCAGGAGACGAAACAAAGGTTTAGGACTGTCAGCACTAAGCGATGCAGCGTTGATCAAAACAGTTCAAAATTGCTAAATGTATAATTGGCAAATCATGCTGTGAAGAGTAACTAACTGAAATACAAATATATTTGAAACTATAGTGTCATTTAGCTTCAAGAGTGACTGGATTCTGATAACTGGGAAACCAGACAGCCGTAAAATTTTCTGGAAGCCTCGGTGTTCTTTTTGTTTCCAGTAGCTCTGTTCCAGAAAATATGTAAAAACCGAACCCAATCCGTTGTTGTTCACGTAATTTGCCATTTTCAGCTCTTGCAAGCACAGCTTTGATGTGTTCTTTTTCAGACTCCGTCAATCCATTGTTTTGCTTGGTACCCGATGGTGATCGCTCACCCGTTGTTCGCACACTCCAGCCGCTCTTCAGCCTGGAATTTTACTGGTCACAGGTTCAGTTATTGCGATTAATCGGCCGGCAGCTGTATGAAAAAATAAGCTGCATCTGGGAAAAATCTAAGGCGTTTTTGGGCATGCAGTTAAAAATAGTTCTTGCCGTTGAGGATGGTTTTGCTGACAGTGAAAGCCCTACATTAACTTAATTAGTCATGGCCAAAAACTCTCCGTATTCAGTGCCTACCAGAAGCAGAAACCACTGCGTGTAGCCCGAGTGGTAACATTTGTCAACAACACTCACCCACTCGATAATTTTCTCATTCCGAGGATTATTTATAGGCAAGCTAATGTCAATTTTGTCCTCTTACAAATGCGTCACCAATTTTATCATCAAAACGAACGGACAAATCATGAAGAATTTGGTTGTTCCATCTAAAACTCAATTCTGAGCAGTATAGTAGTATGTTTGAAAGCAGTAAAACTAACTGTGCTCTGAGCTGTAAATGTCTGTCGCTCGGGCAAACCCATTTGTTCCGTGTTCCGCCAATTTCCCAGTCATTCATTAAATCTGTAAGCACTTACTATCAATCCAAAGTATCAAAGAAAATTTGCCTTTCCTCCATAGAAATATTCATTCAAAAAATGCTGTTTAACGCTGCAAACTTTATACCCACTGAAAAGGATGAAAAAGTTAATAAAGTTGAAGGTTCAAAAAAATCTTAGATTTCTTTAACTTAAGAATGCGATTTCTTATATGAATTTCACTGAAATTTTTTGATTCTGCCGCAGGAATTGCAAAATTATAAATATTTTAAAAAATCAATAAATCCTTTATATAAATTAATGTTTCGACAGGAAAAAACTGGAAACGTAAAAACTTAAGAAAAAGAAACTGCTGGAAGAACTCGCAAATGTCACATATATGAAATAGAAAGCTTCAAGCAGCAGAGAGAGTGATATTATTGACGAATGCAGAGCTATCGAGAAAGCACTGCTTCAGAATTGGACAAAAATACTGAATCAATTAAGCGGTTTCCTGAGAAGCACAGGAGTAATCCGTAAGCAAAAGTGCGACGGCTGCTTTCCATCCCACCTCGCAGTCTCACAATAAATAATTCCACTCCTATGCACATACAGTGCTTATTAAGTTGCAAACTTTTTTGAAGGAAAAATAAATTTTTTAAGTGAATGTGATTTCGTGTGCATTTTTTCAAGTAAAAAAACTGAAAACTGATAAAATTGTTGGTATTTTCTTCAAATGCGTGCATTTTCATCCACCGCAATTAATATTCATAATTTATTTTTGCAACCTTTTCTTTATCCAAAATTTTTTTCCGAAAAAATTTTGGATAAAGAAAAGGTTGCAAAAACAAATTATGAATATTAACTGCGGTGAATGAAAATGCACGCATTTGAAGAAAATATCAACAAAACCATGAGATTTTTTTTCTGAATAGACCTAATTTGAATACGAATTTTCACTAATTTTTTGCCGCAATAGATTGAGAAAATTTAAAAGCTTGGAAAAAATGAATAAAAAAATCACAGAAAATGTGAAATTTGTATCGCTGAAACATCAGCTACAGAGCCAAAAAACAGAAATACCATTAATTCATGAATTTTTTCAAGTAAATCCGATTTCGTCAGTGATTGTTAATGAGTTTTTTTTTTTGCTATGAAAAACTAGAAATTGTGAACTTTTTGGCGAAGAATTTTAAGTGGAAGGAAGATTACGAAAACTATTAGCTATGAATGAAAAATATAAATTTGAAAATATCAGCAAGGAGTGAATCTTTTTAACTCAACTCCTATGTAAATTTTTTTCACGTAATTTTTCATTCCTTCTTTGCGCAGTAATGTGAAAATTTATGACAAAGAATGGCACGAAAAGAATTGCAAGGAAAATGAAATTTACAAATAAAGAAATAACAATTATAAAGGGCGAGGATGACCAGCCTTCGAAAAAATCAACTAAAAAATGTGAAAAACACATGTGAGAGGTTCGAAAATTTGCTAGCTTTCAACTCTCTCAGAATGTCCTCACCAGAAAATCGGCAAAGTACATTCTTCTAATCCAGCTTAGCGAAAGCCAATGTCTCAAGCATGTTTCATGGATAATTGAAATGTATCGCAAAGGCATCCCAGGAACTCGAAAATTTGTTTCTTTTTCTAGCCTTTTTTACTTCACACTAAGAATATCAAAATGTGCGGGGTGCTTTTCAGAAATTTTGCTGAACATTTCTTACTCATATCAGTGATGACAAACTGGCTATTTTTCGTTTTCTTTTAATCAACTGGTCAGTGTGAGTACTCGATGTTATTGATGTTACCGAGATGCCAGGGAAGCAATGCCAAGCTCTTCGATTTTGGGCCGTTTTCTACAAACTGAAGAAAGTAAACCAACTGATAACTGGGGCAGGTTTTATAAGTGTTCAACTGAAAGGCAAACATATCAGTCGATTAAAAGAAAACGAAAAATAGCCAGTTTGTCATCACTGATATGAGTAAGAAATGTTCGGCAAAATCTCTGAAAAGCAACAAGAATACCATATTGTTACAAGAATACCATATTGCAACAAGAATACCATATTGCAAAAATCTAAAGCATTTCTGAAACAGGAACCCAGCGAAACCAATGACGTATCCAACTTCCAGCAAAAAAAAACGGGCCTTGAATCTGTGGCCCCAACCTCAATGCCCCCTCATATGCTCAAATTCAGTCTCGATCCACAATTTAAATTCATAAATTTTGGAGTTCAGCTTATTCACAATGGAGCAGTGTGCAGTTAAATTTCACTGTTTCCTTAAATCCAGACTCAGTCTATTCCCCAAGTTTTAAAAAAAAACCCTACAGCTCAAGAATTTTGAGGATTGAAATTTCGGAGGGTTTAATTTAATTACACTGGTTATCGCAAAAACTGGTGTGTGCTGCTATTTACACACAATTCCAATGAGAAGCTAGATTTCTATAAAACAACGCATAACACAAATATAGTAATAAAATAAATACCAAGAATACCAAGGCCGCTCAGGCAGTTGGTATAGGGGTTACATGTTAGTACTTTCAGGCGTCAGACTTTTTGTTCGAAGGTTGTGTACCTCTAACTAATTCCCATTGCCTATTCGATATATGTGCGCCATTAAGCGGTGGATACTTAAGTAGTCAAAAAAAGAGCAAAAATGTGAAAAAAAAATCTAAGCAGTATCAGGATAAGGCTGAAAGTAAATGTTTTGATAGAACTAGAGGAAGCAGTGTAGGAGCAGCAAATTTGGCTAACTAATGTTTTCTCGCCTTCAAGGAACTGAGCCTAGCACTGTCTCTCCTTGCATAAGCTAGTAAATGAAATTCACTAGCTAGCTCACTGAGCGGAAAATATATGCCGAATGCATAAAGCATGCAAGTTTTTTGCACATTAAAAATGTATAAACCTTGAGAAAATACAGGAAAAAATATGCTACTAAAATTTCGCAAAAAAACATTCAAATTCATCAAAATTAAAAAGGAAAAAACGAACATTAGTGCCGATTTACCGCAATACTTCCCAAATAACGTACTGCAAAGAGATGTTACTAATCCTCATTTCGATTTGCGAGTAATATCGCAGTACAGAATTTTTCAGTTTGTGATAAAAACAGTCTGATGTGATTTACGTTTAGCGCATCGGTTTTTTGGACGTGAGGCTTTCGTTTTTTTTTTTTAACTTTGTCTGCAGTTCGATTGCTCTTGTTCCTGTATGCGGTTTTTACGCATTTCGCGCTATGTAAAAGCGCCACAAAGCACATATTGTGACGGGGTTGTCTATGTGTGCTTGTGTATGTGTGTATATGTGTGTGTATCCGAGTGCATTTTGTCTCGCACTTTCAATCTGGGAACGATAAAAACTAGGAGGCTGAAATTTTAAGTGAGTCTTCTTCACCCATGCGCGACCCCGCAAATTTAAATCCAGCCTTCCCGTGTCCGTGGAACACACACACGGTCGCGTGAAATTTTTGGCAGGGCAAATTATTATCCCGGAAAGCGCGAAAGCTAGGAAGCTCAAATTTGCCGAGAATGTTTCCCCCATGAGCAACTTCGTAAATTCATAATCAGCTTTCAGTTAAGCCTGGGTCTCAGTTACGCCTCCGCGAAAGTTTTGGTGGAAAAAATTACTACCTTTGGAAGCCATAAAAGATAGGAAGCTGAAATTTTGCGAGAATATCCTTTGCACACAAACGACCTTGCAGAACGAAAATCTGCTTTCATTTACGCCTAGGTCTTTCGTGCGGCTCGGCGAAAGTTTTGGTGAGGAGAATTATTATCTCGGAAGCCAGAAGAGCTGTGAGGCTGAAGTTTCAGGAGAATGTTTTCTGCTCACAAACTCTAATTTAGCTCCCATTTATGCAGAGGTCTTGCGTACGATCATGTGAAACTTTCGATGCGAAAGTCGTTAGCTCGAAAACTGAAAACTGGTGGGTTGAAATTTGGGAGGATATTCCCCGTTAACCGTTTCAAATTCAGCTTTTATGTGCCGGCACGTGAAATTTTCAGTGAGAAATTCCTCAGCATAGGAGCCAGACAGTATATATTTTTCCACACATAAAAGTGTAAAACAGTTATATTTTAAGGAGACAAACGTAATCTGGACGAAACTGCGCAATACGCACGATCACACTGGTTACCTTGGTGTGCGTCAGTATTTATCACCCCTAACGCATTTGTTTTTCATAGTTATTTTACCGGAAACAAAGTAACGGCATACTGCAAAAAATGCATTCGTGAGCCTGGTTGATGTCAGCTGTCACTGTGCGGTCGGTATTCCTGATTTGCTGCTTCATTTCCTTCCTATCGATTTTCTTTGATCTATTAAGCTATAACGGCTTGTGAAGAATCTGGAAACGGAAAAGCTACCACCGATTTTCCTAGTGCCAGTGTTTGCTGCTAGCGCTTACTACCAACAAGGCTAACTGTGAGTGCCTATGCGTCTTGTACAGGGTGAATACGCAGGGGCTCCTTTTCAGAGTCGGGTAAAATCGTTTTTCAGAGTGTATGATTTTTCGCTTTTTTCATATCCATCGAGGACGCCGTCCGATGTTTTGACAATTTCCTAACGAAGATGGTTTGTGGGTTCATCCCTTGACAGCGACTTACCATTACAGATGAATCTCCATAGAAAGAACAAAATCTTTTCGACCTTGTATTTAGAATTTTCCTATTGTTATTATAAATAACCCCAGTTGCTTTTGTAAACTAGAGGCAACAATAGGTACATGTATGCGATAACAATAATATTAAAAAACCGGTGTAGGCTGTGGCCTCGGTTTTGCTGTGAATGACTGAGGAGCAGCCTCGGACAGCAGTAAAATATTATCGCGATTTGTTGGTGAGGATAAGACAGTCTGTTTCGTCTGCAGTAAATAATCCCGGAGTTGCTATGAAAGGCGCAAAGTCTGGTGTTGATGAAAGCGTAAAGTCCGATGCTGATGGACGGCATCCCGGTCGGTTCGAAAAAATGTTAACACTAAAAATTTGCCGGAAAAATCGGCTACTGAGCCCATTTGAAGCTCCTCTTTGCTCCAGCTGGGTTCATCTTACAAAATAAACTGCATACATTTTGGTGCCGTTGATTGACGGCAGCATTGTTATTATCAAGAAGACTACGGTATCGCAAAATACAAATTTTATGTTAATTTTTCATCTTTTTTGTTCCTTTTGTCTCCTTTCCCCATTCGAGGCGCCCTTCCTTTACAAGAGGTCCAGGTTATCCCGTAACAGGATCTACTCAGTGCATATGATAAATAAACACTCAAACATAGGCATATGTATATAAATGCTAAAGCACGCTTTATGTACATTAAAACCACCACAAATAAAAATTTCTAACACCTCTGTATGGAAAATGGAAATAATTGGGTGATACATAAAAAGCTGTTTCAATACGGAAGCAAAACGAATTTACTAGACAGTGAATAAGCCTCAATATGACGGAAAGTAGATGAATAGCAGAGCAACTCATTGTATCCTCCCTTCCTTCATCCTCGCAACTCTTCAAAAAAGAGTTACATTTTGCCTGAATTGGAATGATTTTGCAAGTAATCGACGAAATTTTCAACCGAAAAATATTAAATTTTTCTTTTTGATTGCCATATAG